ACACAACCAAACAAAAAAAAAAAAAAGAAAAAGGAAAAGAAAGGAGGAAACCTCTCTTTTTCTCCCCTTTCCCTCTTTTTGTTTTTTTTTTTTTTTTAAATTCTTGATTTTGTTTGTAGCCACCTCGTCCCCAATGCCTCTCTGAGCAGCATCGAGCGAGCGAGCGGAAGAAGGCGAGCCAGAGAGGCAAAAGAGAAGATGAGGATAATTTGCAGACAGCTTGTCTTGTTGTTTTCTGGCTTTTGGGGACTAGCAATGGGAGCTTTTCCTAGCAGCGTGCAAATAGGTAAGCGCTGCATTGGGCTGTGTGCGTGTGGCCAGGGGTTCAATCCTTTGCAAAGTGAGTTGGAAAGGAGGCTCTGAAGGCAGTTTGCAGATTTCTCCTCCGCCACTCATCCCATTTCCCTGCCTTCAAGAAAAATCCGCGTGTATTTGTGTATGTATGCCTCTCTGTGCGCGTGTGTGTGTACATACATATCCGTGTGTGGTAGGGAGGATGCTTGTCTTTTGCAGAACTCGTCCCAGCCCCGGGCTGTGTGGGATGAGTAGGGGATGAAGGGGCTCGGGGCTGATGCCCCTCGGCTGCCTTCAGCCCCCTGCGGCACCCCCCGCTTTTGCCTGGCTCCCGGAGGGATGGCGAGTTACGTGCATCGGAGGTTGCGGTAGCCGGCAGGGGTGGGGGGTAAAGGGTAACGCTGCCCTTAATTCCCTTCTCGTAGTTGGAAAGTTTGGGATTTTGTCGGTCTCTCCGCGGAGTCCTGTGCCCCCTCCTCACCCCTTTCCCATCGCCTCCAGCTTCCCTTCTTTCGGACGTGTTTCGGGTGGGACGCAGCTATCTGAATTCTTTCCAGCTCAGCTCCATCACTGCATCATTTCTCGTGGACTTGTAAAGATGCTGCTAATAAGGCTGAGCAGCTCCCTGCCTGCACATGGCTGCGGAGGAGCAAAGTTCATTATATTCCTGTTCAGTGCAGATTATCCTACACTGAGTCGGTATTTTATTTTTTCTTTTTTTTTTTTTTTAATCCAGAAAGCATCGTTCCCCTTAATCAGCCCGCCACTTAATGTAAGAGGCTGTTGAGTAGCTGATTTACCAGTGTGTTCAGTATCAGGGAGATGGAGGCTAAACACTTTCAAAGGTCACTGTAATCATGACAAATCTGGGTATTTATGTATGAAAGGCTGGAAACTGAGAAGTCAGAAAAGAAGCATGAATGCATCAGGGAGGTTAAAATCGATTGAGCACAGTGATTTAAAGGCAGCGGTTGTGATTACGAATATGATTAGTTCCTTATCCATTAAAGTCTTAGGACTTGCCTTACTGTGCAGCTTTGGGAGAGACAGTTGCTTAGCGTTGCAAGATAGTAAGTAGCTTGCAAATAATTCACCCTCCTTCCTTTGCTTTTTTGCCTTTTTTTCTTTTTTTTTTGTAGGTGGTCTCTTCATCAGGAACACAGATCAGGAATATACTGCTTTTCGATTAGCAATTTTTCTTCATAACACCAGCCCCAATGCATCCGAAGCACCTTTTAATTTGGTTCCTCATGTAGACAACATTGAAACAGCTAACAGCTTCGCTGTAACAAATGCCTGTAAGTAAACATGCCATTGATCTGACCACCTTACCAGTAAATTGCAGTGGAAATAACAGGAAACCACATCATTATCTTGCATTGGAAATACACCAGTAAGTCTGTCTTCAGTATAGGTACCCTTTGCAGAAGAGCAAAAGGGGCAGCAATCCTTATTAGTTTCTAACTGGAGCAAAACCCCCTCTTCTGCCTTCTGCTGACTAACCTGATATGACATTTACTTTAGCGTTATTATTGTAGTTTCTTGCTTCCTGGTTTCTATGGAGATGAATTTTGTTGTTGTAAAGAAAAATTATGAATGTCTCGATCAGTCCGTAAACCCCACAGTTACTCTTTTTCGCTTTTGGGTATGGTGTGCCTTGCATGTATTTGAAAATAGATGATGATATTTGTGCTCACAAATGCTTTTCTAATGGCTGGAAAGGAGATAGGGAAGCAGTGGTGTGCAGGATAATATATCTGAGTTGGTTGACGCTGCAGTTGATCTGGTGATGTCACTTGAGGCAGCCCTGCTCTTATATTCTAGGTTGTAAATGTCTCTTATCATCTCGCAATGCATACATCCTGTGGATATGTTTCTATGCATCCATACATTGGTGCCAAATCAAGTTAGTATCTGATCTACTTGATTTCACAGACCACCTCAACTGGAACAAATATTCTCATCCTACTATATATTTTATACACACACACACCCGCACACGCATGAGATGCACATACACCATGAGAGGAAAACAGAGAAAGAAATGCCCTTACCAAATGAGGTAAAATTTACTTCTTTTTTTTTTTTTTTAATTCTTAAAGCAGAGTATAATTAGCTGAACTTCCTACATTTAGATCGTGTCAAGGTTTTTAGCCTTGGTTAAAACACATGCTGGATACTCCTTAATCTCTGCAAGTGGCAAGGCATTATTTCTGTTTATCTTCATGTGTGTCAGGCTTATAAAAAGGAATTCACGTTATTATGTAAGACAGTGGGATATAGTGTGACAAAGCTGAAGACTGTAGTAGAATTACTACTTTGATGTCCGTATTTCAGGATTCTATAGGTTTTCCTCTGTGGCCTTTTAAGTTTTCAAATCCCTCCTCTTCATTCAAGAGTGAATTGCCTCTGGAAGTAGATGCCCAAAGCAACATTGCTGAGCGAGTTTAAAATAGAAACGTACTGGAGAAGGTCTTACTCTTCATCGTGCCTTTGGAATAAGTACTACGTTTCTCTCCACTCTCTCACAGCTATCTCTGTGGCAATTTTTAATGTGTAAACATAAAATGTACTCTGCAGTTCTCATGTATAATTTATTGATTGCTAAATTTACTTATACAAGTCTTTGGTACTCCAAGTTTCAGATGACCTTGCCACCTTATTTACCAGGAAAAGCTGCTGAGCTGCCAAAATGGCTCCATTCATTTTGTGGAGGAAAGATTGATGTCCCATTAAGTGTGAATTCTATATTAAGCAATGTATTAGTTGTGTTTAGTGTGAAAATCAATATCATATTCCATAAGGAGAAAACATTTCAAATGGTGCTTTGAAACTGGAAGGAATCAGATCTATGCAGGTGTAGTTCATTGAGAAGATATTACAATGCATGTCAACTTTTGCAGGCACTGATTATATATTCCATGAAGACAAATGACACAGTAGATTTTTTTAAACTTTCATTTTTTGTGAAAGAGGACGGGACTAAAATTTTTGTATATTGAAATCAGTAATTTTAGGTGAAGTCAATTATTTTAGATTCTGCCTACGCATCCAGTTCTACCAAATAATTTCCAAGGCTATTGTTACTTTTTGGATTGAGGGTATGGCACAGTATTGCCATTCAAACACAAATGAATTAATTCTGACTTCCATAAATTTAAAATTGTCTAAAACTGAACCACTTCTCTGTGTAAGACTAACACCATAGATTCAAAAAGGGTTTGCCCAAAACTTTCCTCGTTTAGACTATTCGCATCAGATTCTTCCCTCTCATTCCAGCCACCTTACATTATGTTTACCTTTCATTGTTTCAAGTGAGGAAAACCTGTCCCTTTGTATTTGCTGTCATTTATAGAAAGAGCGATTCATAACCTGATCCTTTTTTTTTTTTTTTTTAAACTGAACCCAATAAGAGTTTAATGACTTAGAGATGATGAATCTTTACAGCATGGGGGGAGGCAGAGAAAGAGGGGGAAAGTAAATGTATATGTTCATGTGTGTGTACGCTGATATAATTCTGTACATGTCTGTATTAAATAGGCATAATCCTACAGGCCTTATTTAGGTCTGTACATCCCACTTCAACCAACCTGTATTTTTGCATTAGTCCAGGTTTGTATTTATTTCACATTTTGCAGTCTCGTGCCAATAATCCAACTGCTGCTTCTTTTTTTAATCATTTTTAAAATCATTTTAATACTGAAGAATATTTTTAAACAACAAATCTTCTCCTAATGAAACGTAGGCAAACTGACTGACAACTGAATGAACATATCGCATGTCCCTTAAGCTAAATATGAGCAGAATCCTGCAAAAATCAATTGTCTGATAGCTGGAGGACACCGGCTTCCATGTGATTGAATTTGCTGCCTTGACAGAGGCTGCTAAAGCGCAGATGTGTGAGATTTTCTAACCTAATTAAAGAACCCCCACCATCAGCTCTGAATTAAGTGATTTCGTGGCAATATGAAATGATAATACCGCTGTGAAACAGTGGCTTTGGATCTTGCTATTTGTGTCGAAATTACTCAGCACACATGTCCTCAAATATACAGTACAAAAGCCGTAGAGCTGCTGGACTGAAATGAATATTCATGTGAGTTCAAGCATAAAGCTCTGAGACATGACCAGTTACCTCTATTTCTGTTTCCATTTGCTGCAGAGGTTACTGTGAAGATTCAGGGCCTGGCCCCTTGCATGTGTTAGGGACGGTAAACAGACTATTTCAAAGGATTATGGATGGCATATGAGCAGGTGACTCACTGCAACATTGGAAAAACTTGAATTTTTTTTTTTCTTTTCACTATATAAAAACATACAGACAAATGTTCACCCAGGAGTACTTTTGGAACTGGAATAATTCTGTTTATTCAGTGTAATATCTATCTTCTAATGGTTATCTTAGGCATTTTTGTTTTCTTTAAACAGGCCCAGAACATTAGGTTTTTAGTTCTAAATGGGGAGTGCGTATGGAACAGGCTGCCTAAGCAGACAGACTCTGTTGTAAGTTTGCAAAATTGATCTGATGTATATCAGTTTGGAGATAGTCCTCATTCTTTCCCCTTCTCATTTGTGTGTTTGATTTAAAGTCCGTTCATTTCTTTTGCACTACATACATTATTCAGAGAATCTCTCTTACTGACAGAGAAAGGTGAAATTATTGCAAAACATGAATAGTACAAGATTCTTACTCATCAGAACACAATACACCAGAGCTGAAACATTCGAGTATTGGCAAACATTGGTTTGCATATTATAAGCAGGAAATTTTGCTCGTGATTGGAAATCTACCTTCAACTTGATTTCAGATGTCGGAGCAATGCATTGATTTTTATAGAGGATTGTATACATTTATTCTTTAGCTGAATGCAAAATAATTTTCTCCACTCTATGCACCGTCTGTATTACATTAGTAGATCTCAGCAACACAGCATTCAACCTGCTTGCATACTTTTGAAAGGTAGCTCTAGAATTTTACAAAGAACCATTTGCCTTCCAGCTCTTGTCTTGTGATTGTGAATTTTTCTGTTGAAGTTTCAAAAATCCTTAACGTATAACCAGTCTTGCAGCTCTTGTACAGGATTAGGCTAAATGGGGGAGAAAAGAGATCGATTCAAGCCTTTCATCAGTGTTTCATACTAGAAGTAAAGCTTTTCCCTCAGAGTCTATTTGACTTCGTGTGTATTCTGAGATTAATACATTCCTGATAAGTGTAAGTTGGGGTAAATCAGGCACTCCTTTTGTTTCGTCTTTTGCACAATTCAGTTCTTACCAGGTTCTAATCCCAGCAGATACAACCCCCCAGAAATACAACTTTGTTTGTTATGCGCCACATGGATCAGAAGAAGAAAAGCCCACTGGACTTAAAAAATTTGTATCTTGGAATAACTTTCCTCTTTTTCCAAGAGTTAGTTTCTTTGACTTTTATGCGCTCCAAACTAAGACGGGGTTGCTGACCTGCAACGGGAGGGCCTGACTCCGCCTCACCACACGAATGCCGTTTTGGGGTGAGATCCACCGAGGTCAGAGGCAGCCCTGAGGCCGGACAGGAACCTCCCTCGTCACCCTGCCCTCTCTCTGGGTCTGTCCCTGGGCTTGTGCTTACTAGTGAGGGGAGAGGCAATATCATTTTGGAGTTAATTTGTCTGCTGAGACATCCCTAAAGGTGAGGAAATAGGCTCAAATGTAGTATTGCCTTTATATTGTGACTATCTGTCATTTTACTTACAGCAGTTTCAGCCTTGATTTGCTAAGCTGCATCATAATGGGATTTTCATTAAATTTGGTTATTAATTCTACTTTATAATTACAACTCAATTTAGCATTAGGAGTGTAACCTTAGTTTAATAATCAGTGTCATTTAAAACCATGGTGTTCTTTATTTAGAAAGTGAGGTTTCGTGCAGCTGAATGGTATTTTGCTATCAAGAGCAGTACAGTATTTCCAAGGATGCAGTTTGGAGTATATTGAGAGTTACCATAAAGGTGTACCGTACGGTCAGGTCTGAACTGCAAAAGCAACTAGTGTGCCAGTTGGCTAGAAAAATGGAACTGGATTAAATTGTATCCTTCTAAAATAGGATCGATTACAAAAAACCCTTTTGAAGTGAGTGTTTTGGTTTAATACATGGAGTTCATCTCAAGCTGGACTCCAATTATAGAAAACAATTTCTCTTAACCTTTCTATTATTAGCACTTGCTGATGGAATCAAAGAATCTATGGGTACTTGATTGTCATTTACCCTAAGGATTCTGTATATTTTTAAGATATCCATATTCAAAGAGTTTCATAGCTCTAA